AATTTTATAACAGACCTTTTAATCGTCCCTTACTTTTTGTCTGACCTAATTGCTCGAACGCTTCGCTAAAGACCGAATGAAATTGCAGGCCGCTATAAAATATTCCGTTTCTAATTTATGCGGAGAACGTAATTTATAAAGACGGGGTACAAACTGAAAGAAATAAAGAGCGGAAATTGATGTTGGTGCTTGAAAGAAAACGTAGACGCAAGCGTATCCACCGTGCAACTGGCAAACAATCCCTTGCGAGCCCACGCTTCCACTTTCTTTCCCTGCAACTTCATTTCGTTCGTATAAATATTCAGGCGAAGGTTTCCAGCGGCGCGGCGCGTGTGTCTTTTCATTTTCATACAAACTTTCTCATCTTTTATATTCCGCTTTATCATTAAAAGAATTATGTATGCATAAGAACTAATTTCACGATAACGAACTTTGTATTAATCTACGAGATTGGTATATTCAGGCGCGCTTTTTATATATATCCTCGTGAAATTAAGACATGAGAAATAAGTGACGTTTGGTTAAGAGGAATACGGAGATGTTAAGCAAACGTTTAGGCGAGATTATTCCGTAAAATGAATTCAGCGACTCGGAACAATGAATCTCTCACAATCAGATACGATAAGATTGACGGTGTTTCGATATCATTTATCCCCAGAAACAAAAGAGTGTTCGGCATTTTCTGCAGCACAGTCGACGCTGCGTTCGATCATCCTGTTTGGATTAATTCGCGGTTTTTGTTAGACACACGGAGGACGAACTAGAACATAGTGGCTCGGTAGCTTTTTTCCTGTTACGATTGTTCCTCACGAAACGGAATCACGTGGGGCCCAGAATATGTATCGGATCCGGTCTATCGGGATGAAACATTGTGTACAGTTAACCGCGGGTGTCATTGATCCAATGGATGCCGTACTGGCTGTTTCAAAGGGGATCACGGCGCTGCGCGAGAATTTGGGTTACAGAGCAACCCCCTTCGTTCGTTTCCCACCTCCACCTCTTCTATCTCCGTTCCATTGACTATCAGCGACTTGGCGACCAACCAATTCCGGCGTTTTCGTGACATACTACTAGCCTACATTTTGTCCGGTCGATGCTGCAACGGTTCGAACTTTTCAACCGTAGCGCCTATAGTCGGTAATCGATGCCCCTTTTTGTTTAAGTTAATTTCAAGATCATCACTTTCTCCTGGTACTCGTACAGCTATCTCTCTGCTAGATATGCTGATACAAGGTTGGATAAGAATATCCTTCGTCAACGGAGTTAATATTGTTCTCTTAATCACTTTAAAAGTTATTCTGTAAATAACTAATACTTAGAATCTGCGATAACTTCATCCAGTCTTTCGAATCTATCTGATTGCTCGTAAAATTTTATTAGGCGAACTTTTCGCTCGATATCGCCGGCAAAGCGATGATCGCTGTCTTCAGAGAGGTGAAACCGGTCGAAGCGGAACGACGGAACTCGAGGCCGTCCGCGGTAAAAAATTACTTCAATTCGGGATTCGATTTTCCCCCTCTGATAACGCCCGATACTCCTACACGGTACCGTTTCACCGTTGTGTTCCCACTATCCGGATAATGCAGCCATTCTCACGTGAAAATGAGAGGAACGTTGGCCGGGCGACGCAGCTTGTCGCGCAGAGAAGCGATCTCGATGAGCATTGTGCTCGCGATCTTTTGATTTTTACAGCCGATCAAATCCACCTCTGCGCGAAACGACTCGCGGAGGAAAACAGTCGGAACGTCGAGGGGGATGGGGAATCTCTGTAAGTGGGAAGACGATCCCCCTCGAGGTTCGTTGAATTTTAAGGGACTGGAACGGAAGAGATGCAGACTTAGAATGGGGGGAAACTTTGTCAATTGCCTAGGCGCGAAGGGTTATTGCATTGCAAAATTGTTTTTGGAACTTCTTTATTGACTGGGAGTTGGATTCATTCCATTATTGCAGCTAGTGTGCATTTTTGTTTGCACCTTGCCTTCAGACTCGTAAACATCAATCAATGGCACTCTAGCTGTGCTTGATAGTTATTAGTCCGTCGATTTCATGACTCTATAGGATAGTTGAATATGCAATAAATAAGAGAACATATTTCTTAAAGTGCATAAAAATATAATCCAATAATTCTGTCATATTTAATATTTTGATTTATATAATAATGTAGTGTATCGATCTGTTAAAATTAGTCGGTTTTGTAGTAGTTAAAGTAATTTCGATGACTCGTTATGAGCGCCATAATATCAGTGTATTTCACAAAATTTGATTATCTCCTTCGCAGTTCTCGTGTTTCGTTTAATGTCATCGGCGCAAACGAGATTAAACAGCAAATGGGTTAAATCGTTTTCATCGATTTAATGAAATATCGTCGAAGTGAATCGATTTTCAAGATAACGAATCCAATGTGAAATGTATTGGAACTATCTTTATTGTATTTCATCGTTATTATCACAATTGATTTAACATGCCTTAGAAGATACGTATTATACTATGATTCTGAATTACATGTGGGACGCAAAATTTGCATACAAAATTTATTTCGTATTGACACTATCAAGAGATATCATGTGACCAGAAATATTGTTAACGTTCAATTCCTCCGTCCATGTTGTGTTTGACTTGAGAGTATTCTTTCCACTCAGTTGATCCTGAATCTCCTGCAGTGACAGGCCTTTCGTTTCGGGTACAAAGAATATCGTATAAGGTACAGTTGTAAGTAATATTACAGCGTAAAACAGAAACAAATAGTGTTCGGGCATTATTTGAAGCAGAGGAACGTAAGTACTGGCTGCGATAAAGGCACAAAGACCAGCGCAACAGCTAGCGATACACATGGCGATGCACTTTAAATGAGGGGGAAATATCTCGCCAGCTATCAAAGGTGGAATAGGTATTAAGCCCACGAAGCCTGCCGTATTGTACAAGATCATTCCGACAATCGACAGACTTTCCACCGTCTTCGGATCAAAGCCATAACTTAATGACCAGAAATTGAGTGACAATAGAGTAAAAGCGATCACAACTCCGAAGCAGGATACTATCATTAAAATTTTTCTTCCGCACTTGTCCATCAGGAACACAGATAGAATGGATCCAGGCACACCAAGCACCATTACAATGATTACTATTTTCGAGGGCTCTATCACGCTGACTTTCGCGGACGTCAAAATCATCTCCATGTAAAACACGATTGGGCCAATGCCAAACGTCTGGGTGAGCATGATAAGAATTACAATCATGATGGATGATTTGCGAAATTGTTTAGTTGTCATTTGTCTCAGAGTATCTTTGATCGATTTTTCACTGTGATCCTCGATGAACTTGTGCAGCTTCATTAATTCTAACTCCACGTCGTAGTTTCTATGATACCAATGAATCGACGACCTCGCTTTATCATCTTCATTATACTTCACGTAGTGATGAGGAGATTCCGGTAACCACATGAAAAGCGCTATTATCGCGAAACCGAGTATCAACAATATTTCGGTTGATTCCTTCATGGACAAGTACGCCCCCAGACTAGTCATTAGGATGTTTCCACATGGTACTCCAATCATGCACATCGCGAGCAGCATACCACGGTTACTGGGCTCTGCTATTTCTGCCAGGTATAGGGAATTACAAGCGTAGCTCATTCCTCCAGAGATCCCACCCGAGAATCTTGCGACGTATAGCCAGTTGACGTTGTCGGCTAAAATAATGAACAGCCAGCACAGTGTTATAGGCACGCACGATATCAGAACTCCCGTTTTACTGCCCCAATAGTTGGTAATTATCGTGCCACTGATCGCACCCAACGGTCTTCCAAAATTCAGGACTGATATTACCCAGGACATCTCTGCCAATGTGATCAAGAACGGGGATCCTAGGGATGTTAATGGTTCGATGTATGGGGAAGACCAAACGTCAATGCATCCCATATGAATCATCAAAATTAGAACTGGGGATGAATAAAATGTAGAAGTTTACGTAGTTAAATAACATCACATATTATGCATACTTACCTCCAATAGCAGCTATCCATTGCGGCCAAGTTTCAATTCTTCCTACTGATTTTTGGTCCGTATTCTCCATGTTATAATTTTTTCAAATACCCAAGAGCCTCTGAGAATACTGACTGGCAAACGTACAACGTTTGTTATGACACAACATTGTACTATATTCACTATCGTTTAGTTCCAATGCCATTCTGAAAGTACTGTAACAACTAACACTAAACTTGTTGATAAGACAATACATTATTTTTCTATAATTAACATGAAAAATATAGTAACGTTGATATGTGTGCACTAGCGAAGGAAGTTTCTAAAAGATCCGTGTATTAGTTTCATTTTCATGTAACTCGTCGCAAGTAAACTTGGAAAGAAAAAGTTTAAGCAGCTTATTAGATCCACTATCTTTATGTGTTAATGGAAAATTAAAAATGTTCGACGGGCTACATGTAGCAACATGCGATTTTAAGAGGGATAAAACAATGTATATAGTTGTTTTCTGTTTAACGAACGCATATTTACGTTACTTTTATTAGTGACATCAATTTCGTACTCGCAGACTACAGTGAATATAATTAAGGTTTGACAAACGTTTTATTTTTAAGCGAATTATGTACAGAGTTACAAAATTTTTTTATTAGTACAATTATATTGTAAAATTTTGTTTACTGTTCTTCATATGCCATGTATAGCCATACAATGTACATGTAACATATGGAATCATCATTCCTGATCTTGAACCGAAAAAACTGTCACTCGCAAACGAAGAAAATAGTGCATGAAATTAGTATAGTTCTAAAATTTTCCATCAACGAGTTTCCTTCTTATGTATGCACTTTTTTACGGTATTCTGCGATAAGATAAGATACGTTTAATTGTATAATATCTACTCAGTGTAATAGTAAAATTCGTTTGCACGATCACGTTTTCGTCAGTGTGCAATAAACCAGCAGTCGCATTTTTATAGAGTATTATATAAAATACAGATGTCTTAAAAATGACTACTAGACATATTTATAGAACATTTATTTAATAGTTAATGAGATCGTTGATTTCTTACAATACATTAATTGCATCTTAATGTTTGCTATCGCATTTGGTTTTTGTCTCCAAATTTGGTTTCTCTTGCTCGTCCATCGCAGCCAGCATATCTTGTATTTCCTGAAAGCATATTAACTATTTAATAGCTAGTCGCTTGAGTAATATTAACCATCTGTTAAATCGTTATATTGAGATTTGTGATGAAACTTATTATCTTCTGTTCCAAACTGAATTAAAAGGACCTCGATAGAATTCACAATTCAAACTCGTATCAAAACACACATATTATTCATTTGTCGAAGTGATAAGATTTTTGTATAACAATACTGGAAGATATCGAGAGTATTCGTGCAACGATCTAACAGTATCGCGACTTCCGCTGTCTGAATCAATTGAATTGCCTACCTGCAACGTTTTTCCTTTGGTTTCCGGCACGGCTATGAGACAATAAAAGAAGCACACGGTCATGATTATTGCGTACAACCAGAACACGTATTTCTCGGACATAAGATCGACCATTGGTTGATAAGTTCGGCTAGAAATGAACGCGAACAAGCCAGAAGAGATGCCGGCCGTGAATCCCGCGATGCTCTTTAAATCATCCGGAAACATCTCGCTGAGCAACGTGCTCGGTACTGGTACCAAACCGATGAACATCAACATGTAAAGTATCATCGCCAGAATGGGTAGCCATTCGAAATTTTTCGGATCGTAATTTAGATCAAGCAGCATGAAATGCAATCCCAGAAGCAGCGTCGCGAGGACCAAACACGCGCTAGAATATGTACAGAGTTACAAAATTTTTTTATTAGTACAATTATATTGTAAAATTTTGTTTACTGTTCTTCATATGCCATGTATAGCCATACAATGTACATGTAACATATGGAATCATCATTCCTGATCTTGAACCGAAAAAACTGTCACTCGCAAACGAAGAAAATAGTGCATGAAATTAGTATAGTTCTAAAATTTTCCATCAACGAGTTTCCTTCTTATGTATGCACTTTTTTACGGTATTCTGCGATAAGATAAGATACGTTTAATTGTATAATATCTACTCAGTGTAATAGTAAAATTCGTTTGCACGATCACGTTTTCGTCAGTGTGCAATAAACCAGCAGTCGCATTTTTATAGAGTATTATATAAAATACAGATGTCTTAAAAATGACTACTAGACATATTTATAGAACATTTATTTAATAGTTAATGAGATCGTTGATTTCTTACAATACATTAATTGCATCTTAATGTTTGCTATCGCATTTGGTTTTTGTCTCCAAATTTGGTTTCTCTTGCTCGTCCATCGCAGCCAGCATATCTTGTATTTCCTGAAAGCATATTAACTATTTAATAGCTAGTCGCTTGAGTAATATTAACCATCTGTTAAATCGTTATATTGAGATTTGTGATGAAACTTATTATCTTCTGTTCCAAACTGAATTAAAAGGACCTCGATAGAATTCACAATTCAAACTCGTATCAAAACACACATATTATTCATTTGTCGAAGTGATAAGATTTTTGTATAACAATACTGGAAGATATCGAGAGTATTCGTGCAACGATCTAACAGTATCGCGACTTCCGCTGTCTGAATCAATTGAATTGCCTACCTGCAACGTTTTTCCTTTGGTTTCCGGCACGGCTATGAGACAATAAAAGAAGCACACGGTCATGATTATTGCGTACAACCAGAACACGTATTTCTCGGACATAAGATCGACCATTGGTTGATAAGTTCGGCTAGAAATGAACGCGAACAAGCCAGAAGAGATGCCGGCCGTGAATCCCGCGATGCTCTTTAAATCATCCGGAAACATCTCGCTGAGCAACGTGCTCGGTACTGGTACCAAACCGATGAACATCAACATGTAAAGTATCATCGCCAGAATGGGTAGCCATTCGAAATTTTTCGGATCGTAATTTAGATCAAGCAGCATGAAATGCAATCCCAGAAGCAGCGTCGCGAGGACCAAACACGCGCTAGACACCGCTAGGAGAATCCTCCGGCCGCAACGATCGATGCAATAGACGCTGATCCAGCCGACGACTATACCTGGAATGCGAGACACGTGCCGTGTCTATTATTCACTTTGGAACTGTGTGTCCTAATCAAAATATTCACGGAATCGTTCAAGTATGAGTTGCGGCACTTAAGAATTTAATTTGGAAGGATATACCTATCGCGTTAGAGATCATGACAACGGCGGCCGGGTCGATCGACGTCACCTTCGCGTTTCTGACGATGATCTCCATATAGAATACGATGGTGTTCATTCCGCTCATTTGCATGAAAATGAACAGAAATATGATTATCGAGAACACGCGTCTGTTTTTCTTTTGTACGATTTGGCGCAGTTTGTCGCGAAAGTTCAAAGACTTAGAGGATCGCACGAAATCTTCTATCATTTCTAACTCCACGTTCACGTTTGATTTTCTCTGATACCACTGTATTGCCTTTTTTGCCTCCACCGAGTTCTCCCGGCGCACGTAATAATGCGGCGACTGTGGGAGAAACGGGAATACCACTATAAAGCAGACGTTCACAACTAGGCTTATGATCCCGAAACACATCATCGACATGTAAGGACCCATTATGTTCCCGATTAATGTCCCCAACGGTAATCCATTTACAATTGTGCTGACCAGAGCTCCGCGTATATTAGGCGATGCTATTTCACCCATGTAAAGGGCGAAGCAGCTGTAAAACATTCCCTGTGATATCCCTGGAAGATTGAGAATGGTCAGTCGTAAATTATGGGACAAAACGGAAATTGTTTACCAGAAGAGAATCTTGACACGTATAACCAAGCAGCAGAATTGGCGAATATTATGCCAATCCAGCCTATTATGAGAGATAGTCCCGTAGCTAATAGGGACTTCTTGCTACCGTAATATTCCATCGCCATGGAACCGATAACGGCACCGAAGAGTCGCCCGAACGGAACCAAGGAAACTACCCATGATGCTTCATCATTCGTTATTTGCAACACGGATTCGTTGTTGGTCAGTTTAGCCAGATAGGGCGATGTCCAACCGACGACCAGTCCGAGATCGACACCGAACAGAGTCACTATGACACATGACACAAGTATGAGTTGCGGCACTTAAGAGTTTCATTTGAAAGGATATACCTATCGCGTTAGAGATCATGACAGCAATTTCGATGACTCGTTATGAGCACCATAATATCAGTGTATTTCACAAAATTTGATTATCTCCTTCGCAGTTCTCGTGTTTCGTTTAATGTCATCGGCGCAAACGAGATTAAACAGCAAATGGGTTAAATCTATTTATGTTAAATCTATTTGCGCATGAATGTTCCACTGCGCCGAGACGACAATAATTTCCGTTGTCGACGTTCTTGTTGTCGAGCCTGTGCGTGCTTTCGCGCTGTATCTCGACGGGAACCTCCCCCGTCGAGGTAAATTAAACAAATGTCGAGTGTCGGTTGGTCTAGACGAGCGAAACGAATGGATCCCGGTGTTTCCTTTTTGGCGCATCAACCGGAGCGGCGTGGTGGCGGTAGTCAGCTCGGTTTTTCATCGATTCCGAGCGGGTGGACGGCAATCGAAGCGAACCGGCTATTTGTACCGAAAGTTCATTTGCGAAATGACGTCCGACGTCGGATGTCGGTTTTTTTTTAAACTAATTAAAACTTTATAGAGGCGAAAATTTGTACTCATTTGTAAGAAGCTGGTGAAATAATCAAGTCATACGTTGTGCATAATTAAAAATCGATAACGAATGCAAAGAATAATTGAATATTGTTTCATGAATTGGAAATTGGGTCCGAGTCGACGTTATCAAATTTGGATTATAAATTAGCATGTATCAGGATCCAGAGAGTTGACGGCATAATTGACTCGGTTTAGTTGCAGACAGGTTTAAACCGATTAGGACTTCTGAAACGAACGCTGGGACGAGATCCACTATCTTTATGTGTTAATGGAAAATTAAAAATGTTCGACGGGCTACATGTAGCAACATGCGATTTTAAGAGGGATAAAACAATGTATATAGTTGTTTTCTGTTTAACGAACGCATATTTACGTTACTTTTATTAGTGACATCAATTTCGTACTCGCAGACTACAGTGAATATAATTAAGGTTTGACAAACGTTTTATTTTTAAGCGAATTATGTACAGAGTTACAAAATTTTTTTATTAGTACAATTATATTGTAAAATTTTGTTTACTGTTCTTCATATGCCATGTATAGCCATACAATGTACATGTAACATATGGAATCATCATTCCTGATCTTGAACCGAAAAAACTGTCACTCGCAAACGAAGAAAATAGTGCATGAAATTAGTATAGTTCTAAAATTTTCCATCAACGAGTTTCCTTCTTATGTATGCACTTTTTTACGGTATTCTGCGATAAGATAAGATACGTTTAATTGTATAATATCTACTCAGTGTAATAGTAAAATTCGTTTGCACGATCACGTTTTCGTCAGTGTGCAATAAACCAGCAGTCGCATTTTTATAGAGTATTATATAAAATACAGATGTCTTAAAAATGACTACTAGACATATTTATAGAACATTTATTTAATAGTTAATGAGATCGTTGATTTCTTACAATACATTAATTGCATCTTAATGTTTGCTATCGCATTTGGTTTTTGTCTCCAAATTTGGTTTCTCTTGCTCGTCCATCGCAGCCAGCATATCTTGTATTTCCTGAAAGCATATTAACTATTTAATAGCTAGTCGCTTGAGTAATATTAACCATCTGTTAAATCGTTATATTGAGATTTGTGATGAAACTTATTATCTTCTGTTCCAAACTGAATTAAAAGGACCTCGATAGAATTCACAATTCAAACTCGTATCAAAACACACATATTATTCATTTGTCGAAGTGATAAGATTTTTGTATAACAATACTGGAAGATATCGAGAGTATTCGTGCAACGATCTAACAGTATCGCGACTTCCGCTGTCTGAATCAATTGAATTGCCTACCTGCAACGTTTTTCCTTTGGTTTCCGGCACGGCTATGAGACAATAAAAGAAGCACACGGTCATGATTATTGCGTACAACCAGAACACGTATTTCTCGGACATAAGATCGACCATTGGTTGATAAGTTCGGCTAGAAATGAACGCGAACAAGCCAGAAGAGATGCCGGCCGTGAATCCCGCGATGCTCTTTAAATCATCCGGAAACATCTCGCTGAGCAACGTGCTCGGTACTGGTACCAAACCGATGAACATCAACATGTAAAGTATCATCGCCAGAATGGGTAGCCATTCGAAATTTTTCGGATCGTAATTTAGATCAAGCAGCATGAAATGCAATCCCAGAAGCAGCGTCGCGAGGACCAAACACGCGCTAGACACCGCTAGGAGAATCCTCCGGCCGCAACGATCGATGCAATAGACGCTGATCCAGCCGACGACTATACCTGGAATGCGAGACACGTGCCGTGTCTATTATTCACTTTGGAACTGTGTGTCCTAATCAAAATATTCACGGAATCGTTCAAGTATGAGTTGCGGCACTTAAGAATTTAATTTGGAAGGATATACCTATCGCGTTAGAGATCATGACAACGGCGGCCGGGTCGATCGACGTCACCTTCGCGTTTCTGACGATGATCTCCATATAGAATACGATGGTGTTCATTCCGCTCATTTGCATGAAAATGAACAGAAATATGATTATCGAGAACACGCGTCTGTTTTTCTTTTGTACGATTTGGCGCAGTTTGTCGCGAAAGTTCAAAGACTTAGAGGATCGCACGAAATCTTCTATCATTTCTAACTCCACGTTCACGTTTGATTTTCTCTGATACCACTGTATTGCCTTTTTTGCCTCCACCGAGTTCTCCCGGCGCACGTAATAATGCGGCGACTGTGGGAGAAACGGGAATACCACTATAAAGCAGACGTTCACAACTAGGCTTATGATCCCGAAACACATCATCGACATGTAAGGACCCATTATGTTCCCGATTAATGTCCCCAACGGTAATCCATTTATAATTGTGCTGACCAGAGCTCCGCGTATATTAGGCGATGCTATTTCACCCATGTAAAGGGCGAAGCAGCTGTAAAACATTCCCAGTGATATCCCTGGAAGATTGAGAATGGTCAGTCGTAAATTATGGGACAAAACGGAAATTGTTTACCAGAAGAGAATCTTGACACGTATAACCAAGCAGCAGAATTGGCGAATATTATGCCAATCCAGCCTATTATGAGAGATAGTCCCGTAGCTAATAGGGACTTCTTGCTACCGTAATATTCCATCGCCATGGAACCGATAACGGCACCGAAGAGTCGCCCGAACGGAACCAAGGAAACTACCCATGATGCTTCATCATTCGTTATTTGCAACACGGATTCGTTGTTGGTCAGTTTAGCTAGATAGGGCGATGTCCAACCGACGACCAGTCCGAGATCGACACCCAACAGAGTCACTATGACACATGACACAAGTATGAGTTGCGGCACTTAAGAGTTTCATTTGAAAGGATATACCTATCGCGTTAGAGATCATGACAGCAATTTCGATGACTCGTTATGAGCACCATAATATCAGTGTATTTCACAAAATTTGATTATCTCCTTCGCAGTTCTCGTGTTTCGTTTAATGTCATCGGCGCAAACGAGATTAAACAGCAAATGGGTTAAATCTATTTATGTTAAATCTATTTGCGCATGAATGTTCCACTGCGCCGAGACGACAATAATTTCCGTTGTCGACGTTCTTGTTGTCGAGCCTGTGCGTGCTTTCGCGCTGTATCTCGACGGGAACCTCCCCCGTCGAGGTAAATTAAACAAATGTCGAGTGTCGGTTGGTCTAGACGAGCGAAACGAATGGATCCCGGTGTTTCCTTTTTGGCGCATCAACCGGAGCGGCGTGGTGGCGGTAGTCAGCTCGGTTTTTCATCGATTCCGAGCGGGTGGACGGCAATCGAAGCGAACCGGCTATTTGTACCGAAAGTTCATTTGCGAAATGACGTCCGACGTCGGATGTCGGTTTTTTTTTAAACTAATTAAAACTTTATAGAGGCGAAAATTTGTACTCATTTGTAAGAAGCTGGTGAAATAATCAAGTCATACGTTGTGCATAATTAAAAATCGATAACGAATGCAAAGAATAATTGAATATTGTTTCATGAATTGGAAATTGGGTCCGAGTCGACGTTATCAAATTTGGATTATAAATTAGCATGTATCAGGATCCAGAGAGTTGACGGCATAATTGACTCGGTTTAGTTGCAGACAGGTTTAAACCGATTAGGACTTCTGAAACGAACGCTGGGACGGTCGTAGCAGAACTATCGAGTTAGTGTTCCGCTGGCGATTACATGTACGACATGTTATATGATACGAAAATTTCTCTATAATCCAGGAACTATTCCCATGTAGAATAACGTAGGATCGTATCAACTTCCGAACTAAATGTAATCGATAACACCGGAATGCCCTTATCCATACCAATGTTCCTCCCCGATTAATTGGGTCCGTTTGAACAGCGTATAATCACGAGGAAAGTGTCACTGGCTTTCTTAATGCGTTCGGGTAGGTTCGGCGTCGACTTTTTCGGTTTCGCGACAGAAACCACCGCGGGGTGTGACTCGAAAGAAAACCAGTGATGTACAATGCGTGCTTTCGAGCGTACAATTTCCGCGGCCTTGTCGAGAGGAGAGCGGACCGTTTATACCCGCGACGATAAACTATCTCGTTTGCTCCTCAGAGCGGTTTAAGATGCCATCAGGAATACTCTTCCCTCCTTTTGTCCAGAACGAGGAACTGGAAGTCGTTCAACTGTATCCGATTTTTGCTGCACTTTTACGACTTACCTCGACCAATTCTGCATTTGCATTATACACGCCAGAAAGCGTTTGTGGATCGCACTGAAAAACTTTAATGGATTTGCAAGCGAAAATCATATAAAAAGAATACCTGCACCGACTTGCAAATTGTGTCAAGTCTGTCAAATTACTGCAAAAAATTATACTTATTCGTATTTATTATTTTAATGAGGACAAGAGAAAATCATAAGAGTTATATGTGCCTTTTTCTTACACAGTCTTGTTACGAGTTCATCGGATTATTGTAGAATTAATTCGTTTTTATTTTCTGTTTTCATAGAGTTGTACGAGAATGTCGTATAAAAAGAATATTGATGTTTATTTGTAACTTGTGATTTTGTCAGATTATTGCAAAGCTGATCATTATTCTCGTCTACTTTAATGAGACATATAGAGATAAAGAGACGATATGAATATTTTCTGAATTATTATAAGCGTCTCGATCTCGAATAAATTAATTACTCCTACGGTACTCCGTCATTCCGGTGAGTGTACGTTTGGAAATCGGTTCTCCTGTAAATTCGAGTCAGACGCGATAGCTTAACAACGTTGGAGGTCAAAGTCGTGGCTATTGTCCCACAGTCGATACGGCGAAGAGTTATTGGTTCACGCAACACAATTGGGTTGAGCTGTAATGAATTTAAAATGATAACCGATCGCTACCCATCGGCCGGAGCTGAATATTTCGATCGCGATACGTGAAACATTTATTATGGAATAACGGTGACGGCTTAAGTAATCAATTCGACGGGATGACGTTCGGTTTCGTCGTCACGGGAATATAACACGACGTAACGTTATACCTTTTCCCCTATATCGTTATTACCATCATTAATCAATTTTTTGCTGCTCTTTGTTATTACCGGAAATGGTAATTGATGATTTATATCTCAGATACAGACGATCATAATAATTTGTATTTTTGGGAATCATCATAAACGTGATTTTCATCTTTCAAGAGTGTAAAATTAAAGCACAAATATTTGTTAACGATAAATCAAATATTGGTAGTATTTGTTGAAATATAAGTTATGGGAAAAATGAAATCGTATCATAAATTCTTGGTGATGCTCCAGTGATTCTAAAGTCATCGAGTCATCGTACAATGAACCGGATGCTAGACCTCGGGAACCGTGGCACCTTTAACGTTGCTCAGACGGACTGAAATATATCTGTCTTGTAAAATATGAAACTGGTCAAGTTCCTTGGTGGACACTGTGCCGCGGCATCACGGCGACGTAGCGTGTGTCCGTCCGTAAGAGAAATAGCTACATCGTTTCTCGGTTAAGGGAAGAATAGGTGGCAAAAGAACAACAGCTTTTCTTTCTATTATTCCCGGTATTCGGAGGGTTTACCAGAAAATTCTTCGGGACGCGTTTTCATCGATTCAATGAAATATCGTCGAAGTGAATCGATTTTCAAGATAACGAATCCAATGTGAAATGTATTGAAACTATCTTTATTGTATTTCATCGTTATTATCACAATTGATTTAACATGCCTTAGAAGATACGTATTATACTACGATTCTAAATTACAAGTGAGACGCAAAATTTGCATACAAAATTTATTTCGTATTGACACTATCAAGAGATATCACGTGACCTGAAATATTGTTAACGTTCAATTCCTCCTTGGTCCATGTTGTGTTTGACTTGGGAGCATTTGATGATTTATTCTTTCCACTCAACTGATCCTGAATCTCCTGCAGTGACAGGCCTTTCGTTTCGGGTACAAAGAATATCGTATAAGGCACAGTTGCAAGTAACATTACAGCGTAAAGCAGAAACAAATAGTGTTCGGGCATTATTTGAAGCAGAGGAACGTAAGTACTGGCCGCGATAAAGGAAATAAGGCCAGCGCAACAGCTAACCATACACAAGGCGATGCACTTTAAATGAGGGGGAAATATCTCGCCAGCTATCAAAGGTGGAATAGGTACTAAGCCCACATAGATTGCCGTGTTGTACAAGATCATTCCGACAATCGACAGACTTTCCACCGTCTTCGGATCGAAGCCATAACTTAATAACCAGAAATTGAGTGACAATAGAGTAAAAGCGATCATAACTCCGAGAGCAGGATACTATCATTAAAATTTTTCTTCCGTACTTGTCCATCAGGAACACAGATAGAATGGATCCAGACAAACCGATCGCCATCACAAGCATTACTATTTTCGAGGGCTCTATCACGCTGACTTTCGCGGACGTCAAAATCATCTCCATGTAAAACGCGACTGGGCCAACGCCACACAGCTGGCTCAGCATGATAAGAATTACAATCATGATGGATGATTTGCGAAATTGTTTAGTTTTCATTTGTCTCAGAGTATCTTTGATCGATTTTTCACTGTGATCCTCGATGAACTTGTGCAGCTTCATTAATTCTAACTCCACGTCGTAGTTTCTATGATACCAATGAATCGACGACCTCGCTTTACCATCTTCATTATACTTCACGTAGTGATGAGGAGATTCCGGTAACCACATGAAAAGCGCTATTATCGCGAAACCGAATATCAACAATATTGCCGTTGAATCCTTCATGGACAAGTACGCCCCCAGACTGGTTATTAGGATGTTTCCACATGGTACTCCAATCATGCACATCGCGAGCAGCATACCACGGTTACTGGGCTCTGCTATTTCTGCCACGTATAGGGAATAACAAGCGTAGATCATTCCTACAGAGATCCCACCCGAGAATCTTGCGACGTATAGCCAGTTAACGTTGTCGGCTAAAATAATGAACAGCCAGCACAGTGTTATAGGCACGCACGAAATCAGAACTCCCGTTTTACTGCCCCAATAGTTAGTAATTATCGCGCCACTGATCGCACCCAACGGTCTTCCAAAATTCATAAGCGATATTACCCAGGACATCTCTTCCAATGTGATCAAGAACGGGGATCCTAGAGATGTTAATGGTTCGATGTATGGGGAAGACCAAACGTCAATGCATCCCATATGAATCATCAAAATTAGAACTGGGGATGAATAAGATGTAGAAGTTTATGTAATTAAATAACATCGCATATTATGCATACTTACCTCCAATAGCAGCTATCCATTGCGGCCAAGTTTCAATTCTTAATACTGATTTTTGGTCCGTATTCTCCATGTTATAATTTTTTCAAATACCCAAGAGCCTTTGAGAATATTGACTGGCAAACGTTCAACGTTTGTTACGATACAACATTGTACGATATTCACTATCGTCTAGTTCCAACGTCATTCTACACTTGTTGATAAGACAATACATTATTTTTGTATTATGTATAATTAACATGAAAGATATAGTAACGTGGATATGTGTGCACTAGCGAAGGAAGTTTCTAAAAGATCCGTGTATTAGTTTCATTTTCATGTAATTCGTCGCAAGTAAACTTGGAAAGAAAAAGTTTAAGCAGCTTATTAGATCCACTATCTTTATGTGTTAATGGAAAATTAAAAATGTTCGACGGGCTACATGTAGCAACATGCGATTTTAAGAGGGATAAAACAATGTATATAGTTGTTTTCTGTTTAACGAACGCATATTTACGTTACTTTTATTAGTGACATCAATTTCGTACTCGCAGACTACAGTGAATATAATTAAGGTTTGACAAACGTTTTATTTTTAAGCGAATTATGTACAGAGTTACAAAATTTTTTTATTAGTACAATTATATTGTAAAATTTTGTTTACTGTTCTTCATATGCCATGTATAGCCATACAATGTACATGTAACATATGGAATCATCATTCCTGATCTTGAACCGAAAAAACTGTCACTCGCAAACGAAGAAAATAGTGCATGAAATTAGTATAGTTCTAAAATTTTCCATCAACGAGTTTCCTTCTTATGTATGCACTTTTTTACGGTATTCTGCGATAAGATAAGATACGTTTAATTGTATAATATCTACTCAGTGTAATAGTAAAATTCGTTTGCACGATCACGTTTTCGTCAGTGTGCAATAAACCAGCAGTCGCATTTTTATAGAGTATTATATAAAATACAGATGTCTTAAAAATGACTACTAGACATATTTATAGAACATTTATTTAATAGTTAATGAGATCGTTGATTTCTTACAATACATTAATTGCATCTTAATGTTTGCTATCGCATTTGGTTTTTGTCTCCAAATTTGGTTTCTCTTGCTCGTCCATCGCAGCCAGCATATCTTGTATTTCCTGAAAGCATATTAACTATTTAATAGCTAGTCGCTTGAGTAATATTAACCATCTGTTAAATCGTTATATTGAGATTTGTGATGAAACTTATTATCTTCTGTTCCAAACTGAATTAAAAGGACCTCGATAGAATTCACAATTCAAACTCGTATCAAAACACACATATTATTCATTTGTCGAAGTGATAAGATTTTTGTATAACAATACTGGAAGATATCGAGAGTATTCGTGCAACGATCTAACAGTATCGCGACTTCCGCTGTCTGAATCAATTGAATTGCCTACCTGCAACGTTTTTCCTTTGGTTTCCGGCACGGCTATGAGACAATAAAAGAAGCACACGGTCATGATTATTGCGTACAACCAGAACACGTATTTCTCGGACATAAGATCGACCATTGGTTGATAAGTTCGGCTAGAAATGAACGCGAACAAGCCAGAAGAGATGCCGGCCGTGAATCCCGCGATGCTCTTTAAATCATCCGGAAACATCTCGCTGAGCAACGTGCTCGGTACTGGTACCAAACCGATGAACATCAACATGTAAAGTATCATCGCCAGAATGGGTAGCCATTCGAAATTTTTCGGATCGTAATTTAGATCAAGCAGCATGAAATGCAATCCCAGAAGCAGCGTCGCGAGGACCAAACACGCGCTAGACACCGCTAGGAGAATCCTCCGGCCGCAACGATCGATGCAATAGACGCTGATCCAGCCGACGACTATACCTGGAATGCGAGACACGTGCCGTGTCTATTATTCACTTTGGAACTGTGTGTCCTAATCAAAATATTCACGGAATCGTTCAAGTATGAGTTGCGGCACTTAAGAATTTAATTTGGAAGGATATACCTATCGCGTTAGAGATCATGACAACGGCGGCCGGGTCGATCGACGTCACCTTCGCGTTTCTGACGATGATCTCCATATAGAATACGATGGTGTTCATTCCGCTCATTTGCATGAAAATGAACAGAAATATGATTATCGAGAACACGCGTCTGTTTTTCTTTTGTACGATTTGGCGCAGTTTGTCGCGAAAGTTCAAAGACTTAGAGGATCGCACGAAATCTTCTATCATTTCTAACTCCACGTTCACGTTTGATTTTCTCTGATACCACTGTATTGCCTTTTTTGCCTCCACCGAGTTCTCCCGGCGCACGTAATAATGCGGCGACTGTGGGAGAAACGGGAATACCACTATAAAGCAGACGTTCACAACTAGGCTTATGATCCCGAAACACATCATCGACATGTAAGGACCCATTATGTTCCCGATTAATGTCCCCAACGGTAATCCATTTATAATTGTGCTGACCAGAGCTCCGCGTATATTAGGCGATGCTATTTCACCCATGTAAAGGGCGAAGCAGCTGTAAAACATTCCCAGTGATATCCCTGGAAGATTGAGAATGGTCAGTCGTAAATTATGGGACAAAACGGAAATTGTTTACCAGAAGAGAATCTTGACACGTATAACCAAGCAGCAGAATTGGCGAATATTATGCCAATCCAGCCTATTATGAGAGATAGTCCCGTAGCTAATAGGGACTTCTTGCTACCGTAATATTCCATCGCCATGGAACCGATAACGGCACCGAAGAGTCGCCCGAACGGAACCAAGGAAACTACCCATGATGCTTCATCATTCGTTATTTGCAACACGGATTCGTTGTTGGTCAGTTTAGCTAGATAGGGCGACGTCCAACCGACGACCAGTCCGAGATCGACACCCAACAGAGTCACTATGACGAAAGTCACGATTTCATGTAACGACGGTTATTTCACATACATCGATTATTTTCTTGGTATATATTCATAATTACGCGTTCGAATTAAACGAAAAAATGTATCCTCTGACCTGTTATGCAAACGGTCCATTGTGGCCACACGCGAAGAAAGTTTTCGATTATCCTCATTTGGAGTTACGGAAGTGTATGCGCCTCGCAGTCTCACGTGTTCATTACTGATACGATATCGTTCGCGTATTTAATTTATACTTTCCAGTTTCATCCGTTGTATTCCTTTGTCATCTACATCTCGTAAATATTCGACGCTCGACATCTAAGCACCGACGCATGATCCGTCGCCCCGGTGCCAACGCTATCAGAGATATGGAAGCCCTGTGCAATAATTCAATCGAATTTCACGACCCTACTCATATATACTGAGTGTCTCGATGAAAAATCACATCAGTCCCAGGCTTCTGATGAATGTTGAACGCTCCGAGTCTAATCCAGGGTCTTCATCCTCGTGTTCATTCGTGTAGATCAGGGTTGACAACGGACCGCAATCCGGGCACGGGTTCTCGCGTTTTCAGGGGTCCGCCAGTTATTTGGCGTCCCCGAGGGCAGTCCAGCGCAATCTAGGAACTTCAATATTTGATACATGTGGTCGGTTCTGTGTATGCCTTGCCTCTTCGAACTAGTTTCGCCGCGTGACTTGATGACGTGCAAATTGGATTACTTGCCTTCGGGAATCCTATAATCGAATTTGACCAGGTGTGCTTATTATCGAATCTAACTGCGATTTTATCGACGACGCCCGCCGTCGAATTCAGAGAATATTTTGCTCAACATTTTTCATTGCATCTGATAGATCAAGCTTTGATTGAATTATCGTAAAGTTACTTTTATCTCTGTGTGGAGAAGTGTCTTCGATTCGTCTGAACCACATTTTTTAGATATCTTAGCTGTATATTAGAATTTCGTGAGAAGGAATGCTTCGTTCGAAAAATCCTGGGCACGTTTTTATTCCGTCCGGAAGAGGAAGGCAGCGGTACTTACGAGGGGCAGGAACACGAGTGGCTGAATTACGGTTCACTCTTAAGGAGAAACATGCCGGAGAACGTGGACGTAGATGTATATACGATGGTTGAGGCTCGTAAACTCGTCGCATATAGATAATACGTTATACCTATACCCAGTTCCTGCGGTTATGTTCCTCCTTTCCTTTTTCATTTTCCTTCTTCGATCCTGTTTCATCCTCTCCCCTTCGCGCTGATCTTCGTCCTCTTTACTTGTCTCTCCTGTCTGTTGGCTCTCTCTGTCTCTCTCTCTCTCTTTACCCGACAGCCAAAGGAGACAAAGATGAACTGATGTACCAGCAAAAGGAGTGCCTGGTGTATAATGTAACGTTTCGAAAGCTATCACTCCCCGAGGTAAAAGGGGTTGAATCGTGGTTGAAAAGGGTTGAGGATAGAACCTAGCTGTGGAATAGGCAATGGCGGTGGAAAGAAGACATTTTTACGGCATGTGTCTTTACGTTTCAGTCCAGGCTTTCCCATTTTTTTGTTCACCACATCAAGTTAAGTTTTCTATTTCCTCGATTCAATATACCTAGTCGATTAAATTGTCTTTTGGTAATTTCAATGTTTAAATAGAAATACTGTATCCGATCTCTGTCTGTATACATTAACAGTTTCTGGTTACTATTCTAAGTGTTCAGAACGTCGCGAAAGCTTCAAGCCTCTTTTTCAATCTACACTCGGTTTGTGGCGACATTTCACTATGAATCTATCAGGCGTGCTCGCTGCCCTGTTTACTGAATGTATCGGTTGGGGAAAATTTCAATTTTCTCACTCGTTGACGCAAGGTGGAATACATTCAGAAAAGGATTTCCGAGCGACGGGATCGAAATATAAAATATAAAAAATTCTTAACGACTTTTCAATACGTAAATTGAATAAATAGTGTGCAGTAATATGAACGCGTAATTTCTTAAAATTGTTTCATTACATTTGGTATCTATCTTTGCATTTTCTCATTGCTAAGTTGATAAGCAATCTTAATTACACAAGCCACAGGAGAGTACGATATCTCGTGTTTCTCGGCTGTCTTGTAACGGGTGGTGAAGAAGTCTCGCCTGTGCTCATTAAACGGCGTATAGTTAATATCATGGCGCGATTAACGAGTTCTTCGTGTCCCCCATTCGCATCGTTTTAATACGGCGCCGTAGAATCTAAATGACGCGCGAACGATAAAAATGCCACACTTCATTCTTTCTATAAGTTTAGTTAGCCAATTCGCGTGAGATTAAAGTTCGGATAATTGACGATGTCCGTAATTAAACTTGTAATTAAATTACGAGACGCTCACGTTTGCCAGGACTAGTTTTAAGCCGATTCGGTTGAAGTACTTCAGTCAAGAGTCTGAGTTCCGATAGTAAATAACACAGAATCTGAAAAGGCGATAATAATTCTCATGTAATTAACGCTTCGGGGCCAGTTTTGAATCTGAAATCACTGCTTGATAGTTTCGTAAATCCTTCCTCGGATCAGTTTTTTGTTTCGTAATGCAATTGCACAATGTTATAACATCTGAACAGGTTTCCATATTTTCGCTGCCGTTCGTTTGCAAATGTTTTCAGGTTTTAGTCTCAGTTACAGATGCAACAGATCTCTTTTCTGTTGGTCGTTTTTGTTTTTTTCATCCATCCAGGATCACAACAAACATTCAGCTCGATTTTTCTCTGTTTGTCCGTTGCAGGAAGCGAAGCGAACCGAAATTCATACCCCATTAAAAATTCGACGTTTTTCATAGACGCCCAATCGATTTATTCTCTCTCGAGCGTCGAGCGCTCGAGTGATGCTTCAAATCGGTTCATTTTTTCGTTCTCCGTCCTCGTTTCCTTCCTATTTTTCACTGCTTTTCGTAGGGCAACTGGTTAGCAACAGTTACATGAAAATTGGAACACGCAGTATTCCCGATTCCCAATTAGCTTCATTACGACTAAAAACACATACGTAGATTATAAAAATACCATTATTGTTTGTATATGTAACGTAAAATAAACGTCTCAATTTTACCAGACGATTCGTATTTTGATGAAGGTGACAATAAGAATAAAAATAGCAGATATTTACGAATGTTATTGTTACTGTTCATCCACAGAAAATGATCGTTGATTGATTGCGGCGTATTCCGGCAACGAAACTCAAACGTGTTGCGAAATGACGCAATTTTATCACGTTTGCGAAAGGAGAACAAGCGTGTACATTCGGATTAGTGATTATTTGTATTAGGAATCTCTATATTCTTTGGCAATTGTTTGCTGATTTCGACATTTGTACGAATTAATTGAAATAAGTTCTTGATTGATCTTGAAATAATTTAGGACGACCCGAAAATCAACTCGTAGCGCAAGATTAAGGGAAGCTTAGTGAGACTTAGGCAAATATCGTTGTTTAGAAATCCTAGCTTATGATATTCGATGATACACCAATCTCATTCCCGGGTGGCCTAATTCCTTCTACCAAACTACATGTGTTATGTATGTGTACCTAAATCTCCTCTGGCTAAGTCTAAATGGTGTGAAAAGTTCCCTGTAAATAACTGAATGTCTATTTAAAGTCTGATCCTTACACCGAAATTTCGATTTTACACAAGTAATCAATGAATGAAATTCTAGAATTCATTGAATAGCTGATCCGCGAATCTGTGATGATAAGAGCGTGCGATAATTCCTATTTCTCACGTCGGAGCATCCATAAAACTTTTTGAAGGCGCATCGAGCATCGCTGTTCCATCGCGCTACTGATAATAATCGCATGAATGCTCCTCTTTCGCAGCGATCGCTTCCTTAGGAGTCAGTAACGATGAGTAATAAGGCGTAAAAGCTATTAGGTCCCCGGAGGATATCTCGCCCCTTTTTCTTCTCTATCCCTGGTTGAGAAGACTTTCGCAACGTGAAAGCGGGATTCTTTGGGGCCAGTCGACGAAAGACGTGAAGGTGGAACGGGCGAAGAAAGTCGGGCACCCGCGGATGGCTTTCTTCCATCCTCTCCTCCCTTCACGGGATTTTATCTCGTTTCTCTTCATCCCGTATTACTTGTTCACGCTGCTTTTCAACTATGAGGTGAAGCGAAAAAGAAAACACAGAGCGCATTTCTCTTTTTCGCGACGCCTTTTATCCCATTACACGCATGCGCTCGATCAATGATCGCACTGAACTGTGGACCGAACACGTTAAGTCATACACCGTTTATAAAACGTTTTCCAATTTTTTTTTTTTTTTTTTAAAGCACTTCGTTCGATTCCGTTTTTCTCTATTTGCGAAAAGAGTTACATGTCCCGGCCGTATTTTCGTACGATCGTCTGTAATTGCTTCCTGCATTAATTCCTCGTTAATTTGAACAAAGCTGTTGCCGTGGAAATCTTTCGCTTCACTCCGTTCGCGCCAAGCCGTGAGGATAAAAGACAATCATTCTAGCCGGTGAAAGAGAGGCTGAAAATTCCCGATTCCGACTTACGGCGGCGTAAAATGTACCCGTTCGCTTTCGAATTAGGTCGTAAAAATGCGACCCATTATGATGTAGGAATTCGAAGCAACAGTCAGAATTGTGAGGGAAAAAAAACAAGGACGAAATCTCGCAGTGTTTCAGGCAGAGGCGAACAGTCCTTGATGTCTGACTAAATACTGTGTAATACTACTTACTGCCTGCTTCAAAGTTCGCGCTTATAGTTCTTTACGACTCTCTGTTAGCGTGGTGCAAATATTCTTTCCGATACCCAAGCATGTACTTACCATCGATCAGACGCCAAACGTACCTACTCTTATTAATTTTTGCATTAAGAGATACTTGAATGTAATTCATCCCCTCGTATATACAACGTAATTCTTTAGCAGCATGTTTATGCGATGAGTAGTGTGCAATATCCCTCGCCCTGTATCAGTTTCCTAATTATTTCGAGCGGTATATTTAAAGCTTGTGCACTCGTGTCAGATCGCAATTTCTTTCCGAGGCGGAGCGAGCTAGGCCCGAGCGTTATTAATGGGAGAAATGAAAAGGCGCGCACACGAATACTTCGGCCCCGCGGTATGTGGGAGGAAAAGGATATCGCGAAAGTACTGACGAAGGTAGAGGTCGTAGATGAAGTTAGACGAGACGCGGAAGGAGGACGAGAGGAGTGAAGGAGGGGTGGTAGCGATGGGCCAGGAGCAGCGTGGGTTTGGGGGGCGGTCCGGGACGAGTCAAGGGGTTGGAAAAGGGGCGACTCCGGCAGTCAGCGGGTTAAAGCCGCTCCGAGCGGGTGTTCCATGTGCTTTGCCTCTCCGCTCCGTGACGAGACTCCGTAGCGTGAAGAATGTAGTCGTCCTCGACCGTGTCGGATCACGTGTTAATCAACCGCGGACAGTTCACAGTTTAGTCGATCACGTGTCGTCTCACAAGTGCTCGTCCGGGCTGTATGCCGTGATCAATGTATTTTCTGTGCTCCGTTTTTGTCGTCGTGACAATGGCGAATCAGTAAAGCTTTACCGACCAGTATTCGCCTTTCTATGACTCTGTGACACGTGATAATTGACGGAATTGTGGTTGACACAGTGCGTGGTCCTGTGAAAGGATTAACAAGTTCTATACATGGTTTATCGATTGCATGGAAGACGAATTTACATTGTGAAATGCATCACGAAGAGAAAATATTTGGATTACGAAATTGTTCCTGTTAATAGTCTCTCGGAGATGAATTTTTTCCGGAATTCGCCGTTCCACTATAATCCAGTTATACATCGTTTCGCCAAACATTTACGCACCCTTCTACGGGTTTTCGGTATTTTTTCACCCTACGAATGAACTCGTTCGCTTCTGAACTTATCAAGTGTATAAACCCGTCCCAGTGAACGCTCCAGATTGAAAAACTTTTTCATATGTCACGTCACGTTCATGCTAAATCCCCCTGTTAACGATTTCACGAAGGCCGCTATGGAAAGTACAGAAACACGGTGAATCGTAGTTCACACGGTGAATCAGCAATTCGGCATTTTTCATTGAGACTTTGATAAGCGGCTTATACTGAGCTACTTAAAGAAAATTCTCTGCTGTTCTTATACACGATTTATCACGACAATTAATGAGCCACTATATGAATAACGCATTGTCGCCAATTTGAAGACGTTCGTTCGCCAGAAACACATATTATTTATATCAGCCTTGAGTGCTCGCGAAACGGTTTAATCACGGAAGAGTAACCACCGTCGTCTCCTTTCGCTGCATTCAACGGTTTCGCGTTATTATTACGCGTGGTCAACAATGTTGGTCGATTTGTAACGGTTAATTGCGGATTTGCCTATCACTACAGTGAGACGATGACCCATTGAATAGATGTTACACGAGCTAATATTTACAAAGTACAGAACGTTCGGACACGATGGACAATTAATCTCGCGAAGGGTCGCTCGCAATAACCTCGTAATTGGTGTCTATTTTGGAAGCGATGCGAAACTTTTTTAATTCAACCAATTCCGAATTGAACTTTTTGCATCGCGCGCAATAAAACTCGAATTATTCGCTAATTATTCCGTGGAAATATTATTTCTGCCATAGAATCGGCTAACGAGGAGAAGACTGAAAAATAAAAAACAATTTTTCCGGGGTATGTAACAAACTGACAATGAGTGAAACGAGTCTCGTTTGTCAGGTTAATCGATGCAAAATACAAATTAATAAACCGCTCGGAGAATCATCGAATTTCAATACTAAACTCGAACAGGCCTAATTAAATCGTACACCTGCGGAATTCTCTACGCTGCTGTGATCTATGTATAATTGAACTGCAATTCCGTTGTCGTGACGCGATGTAACATTTGGAATCGAGCAATAGTAGTTGGGAAATAGACGGAGAAAAATGTAAATAATCGATTGCAATTAACTCGTTGACGGGTGTTCAGCGTTCACACCGCAAATCAAATGCGTGCGTCTGGTAAAGGCGGATCAGTCACGTGTGCGTGTTTGGCATCATGAGTGCATTCGACTGCAACCGTTTCCCATGCAGTTGCGTGGCCTACCGCCCGGGAAAATCGTGTTAACTATAATTCGAATCAACACTGTTTTCACGCTACTCCCTTTGCTCGCTGCCCTCGACGACGATTACTCTCGTTCGATTAAAGAATTTCATTCAATCGAATACATTTCGAACAATAAACCCTTCGGATTCATTATTTAACGCGAGTCTCGTGCATCAGTCCGTCGTATATCAATTTTATCGGTCAGTAATATCGCGGTTTGGTATAATAAAACAATTTTTTACACGTGTCCGCTGAATTGGAGCGAGATAATAATTTCAATCCGGAATTATCGATTCGCGTCCGTAAAAGTTCGCTGCAGAATTACTGCAATTCGGGAAAATGAAAAGAATTCAGTTTCGTTCGTAAAGCGAGCATATCGGATGCAGCTAACCGAATAATTATTTATATTTATTAGAATATTACGGTTTCCGTATTAAAATCAAATTCTGTGTACTACAAGTTTCTAGCTAGAGTAAAAGTCGAAAACAAAATTAACGAATGAAATTCCATAAACGTAATTTTCGGCCGACATTTCCCTTGAACTACAGGTTTAATTCTCGGCTAGGTTTCGTGCAGGAAACTGGTGCACGCTAGAAATTGGACTACATTTTTACCTCCTCTGGTTACACTCGAATTCTCAGCGGTCGTGTCAGTCGACAGTAAGGTGGCGTCGGTCGTAAAAGTTTCACCGTCGGGAGAAATACGGGCCTCGAATCCGCAATTAAAATCGGTCGAAATTCCATCGTCCGACAGACAGGTTGGTCACGACGTACTTAACCGCGTCGGTTGATTAGAAAGGACAGTGAATGGGAAGGGTTGAAGAACGAATAGAATTCCGTCAGGGGCATTGAAAGGAGTTTTATTTTTTAACGAGCGAACTGAGACGGTCGGTGATCGATCCGTGTATTCGCCTCGCATAATAGCGGGTGCCCGGATTCAATTTGTCCCGACGGTAAGGGATCCATCGGTCTCATCGATCCGCGAGCGGGACAACGCGTTTCGTCATCGAATCGACGCTATGCGTCCGCGATTGGACGGATACGGCTGTTCCGGCACCGTTGAAGGATCGTCGAGTGGATCACCGAATCGACAGGGGAGTGTAGGTTTGCTCCATTGAGTACCAACGAGAGCCACGGCAACACACTGTTACGCGTTACCGGCGGCGCCGGTTCGGTGTTAATTAGCAGACATGTACGCCCACGTGCACGGCGATAACGGCATGTGCTGTTATCTGCCCACCGTGCTCTACCTCGAGCGATACCGTAAGTTCTTCATTGTCCATACAGTTTAACATAATGGAACCCATAAACGATAAAATTGATTTATCTGAAATCTAACAAGTTATTTCGAATATTTTTACTTCAGGTGGTAATTAGTAAGATGAATTGTTATCCTTTATGCAAAAGAGTTTCGATTTAGAATGCTTATAGTTCCCATAAGCGGTGGCCGCTATATTGCACAGGCGTATTAGTTTGAGAATGGCTAGATTAGCATTATTTTAAGGCCGAACGGGCTGGTAAACGAGCCGACGGAACATAACGGACGTTAACACCGAGCCGAAAACTTATTTAGGGAAAAGATAGCGAAAGGTTTTTGCATAATGAAGCAGTTAAACCTACGATCTTCTTTAACGCGACGAAGTTAGCACTGGCGCGGAGCGGTGCGGGTAAATGTTATGGCTCGGTAATCGAATAAACGGAGCGGCGAACCGAGCTTGTTTATGCCTCTTCGTGCAACTTCCCGGGGAATTTACTTTCTCATTGCGGGGCCTCGGCGTATCGTAGGATCGCGTGCGAGCTGATTGATAATTTATTCGAAACGTGTACACCCGCGCTACTGACTTTCACCACCGTTTTTATCGTGAAACCTCGCTAAACTATAAAAATCCGATCCATCTTTTTCGCGATCGATCTCTTTCGTTCGCAGAAAATTTTCATGGGAACGGTAGCTGATGCATCCGTTGTATAATTGGCATTTTATTTCGCGAACATCACAATAAATTGGTTGAAAAAGATTGTGAAAAATTGTTGCTGTAAAATGCGAGTTTCTAAAAACTGGCCGATGTTCAATGATAAAGCGTCATAGCATTTTTCATCTATTTTCATTTTTATCATCCAGTTCTCTCTGAAATTTAATAAAAATAATAGGGAGGGGTAGGAGGGGCGGTAAGCGAATTGCCATCGGATTTTTGCTGAGTTTCGGCAATACTGCCATTGACGTTCGATGATTTATTCGCGAGCCGTGATCTGTGACAAACGCGGGAACGACAACGATTAAAATATCGAAATTTAATATACGTCAGCTCATCCAGTAACAGTGTACACATGTTGCGTTGAATTAAAAAAAAAAAGGAATAAGCGTTACTTCGATTTTCTGGTATTGGTTCATCGATTCGTTTTAACTGGCTCCATATTTGTTTGCAATTAGAGAAGGAAGGATACCATTAATTGCTGGAGAGTTGTAATTATATTTGCATTTTACTTCGTCCATTCGACCACGGAATCTGGATGGGAATTTTGTTCGTCGTTTAACGCTTACCAACTGAATTTTGATGGAATGTAAAGAGTCGAGAGAGAGATAGAGAAATAGGAAATGTTTACAGAAAATATTTTAAGAACCATCTCCGTGGATCCAAACGTTTGTTTTTACGGTATTTTCAATGGCCCAAGGCGACCTGATACCGAGATTATCGTGGTTTCACGCGATAGTTGCTTCCAGACGACCGGTCCGGTGGGCGGAGAATCGTTTCAGCTGTCGCGAGCAGAATGGAGATTAAATTGGCACTGTTTGCACGATCGCCTTCGGCATCCACTTCCTACCATTCTTTATTATCATTACCTACAGTGTCAGCCAAAATTTTCCTGTCACTTTCTCCCGCCCTCCTTTTACGTTATTCATATTCGTAGAGCATTCCTCAGATGAAATTTCTGCGAAGGAATTATTTTAGCATGATCAGCGTTGATTTCTTGAAATATGTTTTTCACGGGCAATGTTTAAAATTCATTTAACGGATTGTAAAACGCATAGAATGCAATTCATTCATATTCATATTCGTACGAGACATGAAATAGTAAATTACGGATGCGTCGCTTATGCGGACTGAAGACGGATGCAAAATGTACCAGCCGGAAGTGTACCAAGGCGAACGAATGAGTTAGATAATAGAAAGAGAAAAGTAAGGGAGAGTTGCAAGGAGAGCGGAGCCGGAGAGTAGGAAAGCGTCAAGTGAAAAAGCGGACTGGACGTCATGAATCCGTTTTTCTTCCACGACAGCGGTAACGTGGAAAACTTTACTGGCGAGAAACGTAAAATTTCTCCTCTGCTTGTAAGAACGTCGGTATTCATCTACCTTACCAAGCTCCTCCGTTTCTGACGTTATACTTCCGTTTGCATTACTTCTTCTCTAGATGAGTTGTTAATCGATTATCACGTTGGAACTTCATTTTAAGAATCAATTAGGAAAGCTCCTGCACAAAAATTATTACTACAGTTTACGTGCAAAAAAGATTGATAAACGGCTTCCTATTTCTTCTCTGGCGAGCAGCGTTCGGTGTTTAAAAGTTTGCATAGTTCATGCTTGTGACGAAAATTGTCACGAAACTTCGTTGCCCTCCTGTTATTTTTTTCATCTTGTCCTCGAACCTTCGCGAAATTGGTTTTTAAGTATTCGGGAAGGTTTTTTCGCCGTTCACGGAATAAATGTACCAGAAGAAGTGGCGCGGAATATTAAAGAGAATGGAATTACATTTTTTATCTCGACTTAACGTCGGCCTATCGAGCACCCAAGGAAATTTATTACCTTTAATTTTTCCTTTCTTCGTTTCTTCCACGGTTGAAAGGTTTGATATTTTCTTCGGATTTTTATCCGTGTTCTAAGAATTACTTCCGCCCGATCAAGACTACTGTCTATCAGATAGATTCTCCACGGAAGAATAACTCTTGAATGTTTTAATACCCGGCATTGTATGACACGTTGAAAGAGTGTGGAAAATTGTTCGTTCTTCATTGATACCTACGTTCGATTCGTGTGAGAATCATATTTGTTCGTCGTTTAATTAATGACTTCATTTTCCTTTGTATTCAACTATCGGGATTTCTTTTTTTAAATCTAAAAATGGCGTTCAGGTATAATAGTGTACTTGAGGAAGAACGAAATAAGGAATCAATGGAACATAATACAGTAAGAGGAATAACTGGAGTTTACTACAAATCTCTTTAATCCAACTTTATCTCTACTTCATTTTGTTCTCAGCTGGTGTTCAGTATGAAATAACTTTATTCTCCTCCATTTAAATATCTTCCTTTAAGGATGTATTGGCTATACAGTCAATCCCGAAAGTTTATGCACTTTAGAAACGCATTTTTTAAAAAGAAATCAGACGTCGGAAGAACATTGTAACATAATAAACAACA